ATTTCTCTGAATTGAAGTCAATACCATCCCTTTGCAGATGAGGCATTCAGACCCCAGCATCTCTCCTTAAAGCAGGCTTCTCCTGGGCCCCATGGCTTTCTGGTCCATGGTTCAGCTGCTCCATGCTGGTGTTCACCAACAAGGGTTTGGGCAAAGGCAGATCGAAAACTCCACATGGCCAGGCCTACATATATTTCCTGTCTGTGTTTACCTGCCGTGCTCTCCACCATGCTCTAACTGTGTCTACCAACCACACTACTTGATCTTTACCCCCTTTCCCAGTGTTTGACCATGCTGAAGTCTTCTCTGATACCTTGATGCTGCCATGTTTCAGGCTCTGTGCTGGTCACCCTTTGTGAGCAGTCTGGAGGGCGTTGGGGAAGCCTCTGTGTCTTCTGTTCAACAGGGCCTAGCCCAATAAAATTCACATCAGGGCTTTCTTTGCTATGCTCTGCTCCAATCTGAGTCCAAAGGAAAAAAAAAATGCTAAAACTGCACTGATGTTTGCCTGCTTAAAGACTTCTGAAGAGAATACCTGATGCCTTCCTTTGGTGCTGAGAGAATTCTGAGTGCACAAAATCAAACTCTGCCACATTATTTTGTGAAGATTTTTTTTTTTAAATTCTTGTTACATTTGGGATTTAACATTCAGTGCTGTGAGACATGACTCTTTTTTTTTCTAAATATTATTTAAATATTATAGGAATACACAGACACATATTCTCCAGATCTGATACTGTTTTAACAAAGATCCTCTGGATCTAATCTTACCAGCTTGCTCCTCACCTAAAGCTGCACTGATTTCCCGGAGACCTGAAGTTCCACAGTGCCAGAATGCCCATTTGCAAAAACGTGTAGAAAGCACAAAAGATGTCTTTGTTTTGATAGGAACAGGAGGTCTGCAAATGAGCTTGATGTGCCTAAAAGCTTTCAAAATTGTTTAAAAGCAGAGTTTAAATAAGCGGACAAGTTCTCAGCAGTTGCTCAGGATGTTTGGTGCACAGCGCTTCTGAAATTCTGCCTGCCCACCCAGATGTGGGAATGCAGACAGAGGCACCCACTACACTAAGGAATCGTGTTTGGAAAAAATGGAGCTCAACATTTGCTTATATTAGACTAGAAACTGAAATTAATTACTATGGAATTTTAAAATTTTCTTCCCATTCAAGTTGCCTTTTTTTTTTTTACATGACGAGGATTCACTTTCATTCCCTTACTCTATACAAGTCCACTTATTATTGATTAAGCACCACCATGTGCTCAGTGTGATTAAAAAAGAAATGCAGGCCTGGCTCTCAGGTAGCTCACGAGAGAAAACAAAAAACCTCAAGAAATGTCATGGGGGCAGAACTTGTTTCCATATCTTAGAGACACAGAAGCCTTTTCCCCCATTCTTTATGTGCCCTGTGCAATGATTCTTCTTCATCACAGGCAAAGGAAGAGCATTTTACTAGATTTCCAACATTTGATCCTGGAGAAATATATATATTGTGTGTAATATTTGTAAGACAGATAAATGTCTTCATGGCTTCATGAAGGCCATTGTGGCTTCAGGAAGGCTTGATTATAGCTCACTCTTCAGTATTGGCATAGTACAGGATTCTTGTAAGTAGACGTGCACTTCTCCAGAAGCATTTGGAACAGCATCACTACTTGATATTAAATTTAAAGCTGAAACTGGTGCTGTACTACAACATGTCTCAAGTTTGAAGTAGCTGAATGCCCATTTACAGATGCCTGTATCCACTATTACAGATAATTGAATTCAGCTGCATCCTTGAAATTGCTTTTGTAATTTCTTTACAAGTGTAGTAAAAGACTTAATCTATCATAACATTCTTCTCATGTTCCAAATACTTATGCCTTGAAAACCTCAGCGGAACAGAAATTACGTAACGAATTTTTATCAGACATATTAGAAGACACAATGCTTTAACTTTCATGATTGCTGCTTACTGCGTGTCACAATTACGTTCAGCTCGGGCAATAACTGCAGTGGGAATGTTGTCACTGCAGCAGAATCCTTCTTTCCCTCTTGAGTTTGATGGTTTCGGTTTGTAACCTGTCAAAATAAGGGAAGTTGTGCCTGAAAATTCCAACAAACAGAAAAGCCTTGCACCATCACCCCTATGGAAAGAACCCTTGGAACACTGCAGGGCCACTGCCATCTGCACAGGGCTGCCACTGCCCTGCAGCACAGGGCTGCAACGATGCGGGATGCAGCTGGTAGCACACCATGACAGCCTGCCAACAGAGCCCGCCGTAGCCTGTCTGCCATTACCCGAGCTGCACTTCTTAGCTCTGTTTTGTCTTCAAGCCAAGAGAGGAAAGAGCCGGAGGATTCTTTGGTGTACAGGAGCTTGACATTCAAAGGGTGGCTATGGGAGATCTGACGAAATCGCCACCTCTGCCTCCTGAGCCCAAAGTGAGCTGGGGCACTTTTGGTGCAGAACGGCACCTGCGCCCGCGTGGCATCGCTGCATCGTCCATGTAGAGATGAGCCGAGTCACTGTCACATGTTGTAACTGATACGGTGTTTTGGAAGGAAAGAAGGAGAATTTTGCTACATCTTTTTGCCTTAGGTAAACACCACGGTACATCTGTATGCCGCGACGCTTATTTCACAAAGCATGTCTAGTGGATCAGAAAAAAGATTAATCCAGATTTGCAGGAGGAGCTCCTTTTATTACTAAAATAATTGTTAGCGTGTTAAGCTATGGAAGCTTCTGAAATTCATGTCTTACAAATGCATGGGAATTGCAGGCGGACGCGTGATGCACACACTGCTCGCTAGCAATTCTCGGCTAATTCGCTAACTAGAAATGGTCTGTGACTTCCATGATATTTTCTCTCCTCCGTGTTAGGTCAGTGACCTATTTCAGTTTGTTGGCAGCAATTCCCGCGTCTCGTGACTTTGTATTTCACAAAGGAACACTGTGTTTTGTGTTATTTACATTAAAAAGGCGAAATATGTAAAACTTCGCCTTTGTTAAAAATCGCTTTACCCCAAGTATTTGAATCACTTCACGCTTTCAAAAGGCACAATTAAGTATCTAATGAGAACTTCCATTCAAGGTAACACATAATATAAAAAGAAAAAAAAAAATGTTTGAGACATCAGCGATAATATTTTAAATATATTGGCATAGGAAAGCAGATGTCTTCTTGCTTTATTAAACTGACAGTTCAGTTCTGAAACTTTATTTTGAAAAGATTTAAAAAAAAAAAAAGTGTGTCTTTAGAAATAAAAAATATAACAGGCATATCTAAAAAACATAGAAGAGAAAACCTGATTGTTACTACTAATGAAATAGCTGATGACAAAATAGTAGTCTTTTTGATTTTGATCACAAAAAATAAACTGGTAGTGACAGGATATGATGGATAGATTTGACATCCTGGCAAATCACTGTCATTGATTCAATTATTCTAATTCAGAATAAAAGCTGTATACAGTATGTGTTTATGCTACAGTGGAGTTTTTTAAGTGATTGACATTCATCATATTAGTTAGACAGTTTTAAAAGCTGTGTCTTTGTTTTACACGGCGTTGTCAGAGAAAAAAAATAAAGTAGAACCTGGACTGCATAAGAAAAAAGCAAGCCACTTAACCAACTCTTGGTTCCCAACCCATCAAAATAAGTTAGCATTGCTGCATCACATTAACACGTTCTCCGAAAAGTCAATTTCACTCCAGCCATGTAATATACTATTAGAAAGACGAAAATCTGCAACTGTAATGCAATCTTACAGTTGGGTGGCTTGCAAGTTCGGCAGAGAAGAATATATTACCTTTCAAAATGGAAGGAAGCCTCAGAAGAAACAATGCAAACCACTTTAATTTACAGGTCAGCATTGCTCCACTGTTCTTTTGTTTGATGGTACGTACACGGAGATGCATACAGAGCAGCTGCAAGTTCACAAGCAGAACATATACGATGGTAAAGGAGCCCAAATTACTTTTGTGCTCTGCCCTGCTTTAGACCAGCATGTTGTGATACTCTTCCCCAAGCTCAAATGCACTCTTCTGGTATTCCAGCATTAATGTAGCTGTCGGCTTGAATTTCAATCTTGAATTATGTCTGTTGACATAATTTCATAGTGCTGACTTCAATTGTTCAGGATTACTGTTTTGAACTACATAAGGAAATCAGTTCTTTTTTCTACGTTTAGTAAATTCCATTCAAGTGCATTTTAATACATGTATTAACCCAAAAGGCAAACTAATTATCTATAATATATTCCTATTAAAAAAAACCAACAATTCTCAATTACTGGCAGATCAGAATAAAACCTAAATTAATTGTTACACATTACATAAAACACCCAAAGTATTTCCTGAAATTTCCTCATAGTATTTCAGCTGCAAAAAAGAATGGTTTTAAAAACAATAAGTGTGCAGTTAGATCTTGGAATAGCATGTGATCACAAATTGCTCACTTTCATTCATTTGTCTCGATAAACAGTCCAACTTAACTTATTAGTCACACCGAATGCTAAAGGCACGTATGTACAAATTCCACCATGAAAAAAATCCTTTATTTTTATTATTACAAAAACAGAAATGAAGGAGCAATATTCATTTTCATATTTGAAGGAAAGGATAAAAACACTGTACATTTCCAGTAGGGCAGAACAATAGCAGGAACCAACATAACAGAAGCTTTAACCAAAAGCAAAATCCAATCAAGCCCCAAATTAGCACAAAGAAACCAGGACAAAAAAAAAATAAGGCACCATATGATAATGTGTATTTTTAAAGACTGCTGGGTCAAATCATTAAGAAAAATATTTATATAAGTCATTAACACTCATAATTAGAGTGTCATACAAATCTGAGTGGAACTGCTAAGTAGAAATCACTAGAAGTCCAGGTGCTTCTTGCCGATGGCCATAGCACCACATCCTGAGCTCAGCAGTTTGGCGGATTCTGCCAGATCCTGTTTGCTTGAGCGGCTCACTGTGTCTGACAAGTCTGGAGGCAAGTGCAGGCGCTGTGGCAGGAGGTTTGCAGGAGGGAGAGCAGAAAGAGAGAGGGAAAACAGGGAGAAAAAAAATGAGAGTGATTGCAGCGGAATTCATTTTCCATAGCATATTTCCAAATGCACTTTTTCCTGATCGTTTGACGTTCACGCGCACAAAAATGTATCCTATCCTCCTATCCATGTATGCTTCTAGGCTGACCTGGAAATAGCTTTGTACATTTTCATTGTCTGCTTCAACGCAGTTTAGGGTTCCGTAAATCAGAATACATTTTTCTTCAGGAAAATTTTCTAAACATAATCCAAATTTGCTGGAGGTATTTAACCACATCTCCACAATTTTCCCTGAAAAACAAACACTGCAGCATATGCTTCCATTTCTGTGTCATGACAGTATACACGTAGCTTTACTTCACGCACTTATGCATGCTTTGTGGCAGAGTTTGAAAATAAATGATAAAGTAAACGATGCACTGGACAGAAGATACAGAGGGATCACCCTGACTGCAACACCACCCCGCTTCATCCTCATGTCCTGCTGACAGCGCTCAGTGAAAACTACCAGTGACATTAGCTGCATTTCCACAAGGCAATCAGACATGCTAAACAAGCTCTGCTGTCCCTTCTGAGCTGCAGGAACATGGCATCCATTTTGCTGGTGAGGACACCAAGGCACAGGTTCCGATTGCCCACAAGCACAGAGCTCTTGCACAATAACCCTTATGGATCAGCTGTGACAAAAATACTCCCACTCTCTCCCTGAGGATTCCTTTACACTGGTGATAAATAGCAGTACAAGTTAGCTATGGTAACACAAGGTGAAAATTAATGCAATATGGAGGCTTTGGTTTGTGAATTACTGGCTGGCTTTTGGACAGTGTGGTGCTGAATGCCAGCAGCTGAGGCTGCTGAGCATCCTTCCACACCGTGCAATTATTTATGGCACTGATATCATGGAAGAAGCGAGTTCCTTGAAAGATTTAGCAGGCAGAGCCTGAACTGCACAGCTTTCTGAAGGGAGCAGGGCAACAGTAATAGCTCCAGTGCCCTACTAGGCGGTGCGGACTGTGCTTATGCCAACTTCTGCTGTATTTTTGCTTTTGTCAGAACACAAACATACACAGCTGCCCTTAATTTGATACTTTTGCTACTTTTCTCATAGGAAAAAAGGGATCTTGACATATCTACAGGTAAGCCTCAATATCTTGGCTCTTCCCCATCATCCTGTTAACTCAGGCTGGCAGGGCACCGTGTACCTGCAGGTCCCTGCAGGACTCAGATGGGAAAAGTCAAAATGAAGACTGCTCAGATTGGGTGGTGAGACTGAATTAAGCTTTTACAGTTGAATGTGCTATGATACAGCATTTAGTTACATACACATATACCCTTTTCCTCCCATCTAATTCGGTGAGGAGGATGCACACTGCTCACTTAGGGACCAGCTATTCAGAATTTTGTTTTCTTGTCACTGTTTGCTCTGAGCTTTTTCTGACATAGTTATTGTACGCTATTCAGGACTCGTTCTGAAGACAGAATGGCATTTCACATGTTAGTATATAGCACTAGAACGCTTCACAAATACCAGCGATGGTATTTTCCTGATATTCCTGTGAGATAAGGCAGCAAAGATACCTTCATGTCATAGATAGGGAATCAAGGCACACAAAACATGGCAAAAGGTATCTGCTCATTTCAGGAATATATCCCAAGCCATTCAGGACTTGACTGCCCATCGTGCTTCCCATGATCAACCACAGCTTCCAGCTGCACTGCAAGCACCAGGCAGTTCTTCAGGAGCTCCAAGCCAGGGCTTCAGACACCAAGTAGGAGCACAGGAATACAAACACTGTGCTGAAATGACCTGGTCACCCAGCAGCTCGGTGGGACGAGATGAGACACTTTCCAAGACATCCTCCTACTGTCTTCGTTACGGCACCATTCTTTCCACAGGTCTTGCTCTCTCTACAGGTCAACTGTCAGGTACTACAGTGAACAGCACATCTCCAGCAGCGTGCCTCGCTGCATATGCCACCTTCACCCTCAGATCAGGTGCATTCTGAGCAATATACAGCAGCAGGTTCCTCTGAAAGCAGCTGACTACTATCCTGACACTAAGATCTGAAACCCAGCACACAAATGCTACATCTGAACAAAGCCCCAGTAGGCATCTCAGGATGCAACTCCTTATGTTTTCTGCGTGCAGCTTCAAAACATATTAACCCTGAGAAATATTTTAACACCATAAAAAAGAAAATTGCAAGCTTCTGAACACAGACAAACTGGAAATGCATCACGTGGCATTACAGAGGCATCCAGGGGATGAGCAACAGCCCTGCAGTTTTGGCAGCATTGCAGGACCTGTGCTCACACAGTAAGTGAGAGCTTGAATAGGCTGTGATCCTTTCTGAGCACCAGCATTACAGAGAGGGCAGACACTGTCACAGATATTTGCTGACCACAGAGAAACAGCCGCATTTAAAGTTCCAGTTTTGGACAAAGTGTTTCCTGGTGGACAAACTTCTCTGTTGTTTCAGAGGCTCCCTTTCAGTCTCTCTCATTGCTGCGAGTGGCTTTGCTCACTGAGGCCTCCGACCCTGCAGCTGGTTTTCATAAGAAAGCATCCCTCCTCCAGCTACCTGCACCCCAGCCACTTTCAGCTTTCTGCTCCCAACCCCTCCACTCACATTTTGCAGAATCACAGAATCATTAAGCTTGGAAATGACCACTGTCAACCCAGCCGTTTCTCCCAGTCCTGCCTTTTTCTCACTCCTTTCTGCCCATATTCCACTCCCTGCTCAGATTCCTGAAGCTGTGGTCCCAGGCCACCCACCCTTGCCTCAGCCCCTCCACCTTGTCCTCCTCTGGGGCTGTGTCTGCAGTCCTGAGCACGCAGCACATGGTGTCTGTGTTTGAGCTGTAGCTGTGACTGGCACACGGGTACGATCCGCTGGCGCTTCCCACTGCTCCCAGGTCAGGTCAGGAGGGCTTTGCAGTAATAGGCACAATTACACAGAACACAGCTAAGCACACAGCTTCGGGGCATGCCTTACGAAAGGAAAACAGCTCAGACAAAACTTATAGCATACTTTGCCTTACTTTGCTTCTGCTCCTCCCTCTCGGCCTGAAGAAAACTTCTAATGACTTCATTTGTTCTCAACGTGGAAAAAAAAGTAGAAGAGGAAGATAAGAAGATGTAAAGTGTCAGGCCAGAGGGGACACTGGGCAATCCTTTAGTCCTAGTGAAATCTCTTATTGAACCTCTGTAGTAGAAACAGTAATTGGTTCACCAAAGTACTTTTCATTTTTGTGGAAATACATGTCTGTGTGAGGTACAGATTACTTTTATACTGGATAAAATACTCATAAATAACTGAAGTCCAAGACATTAAAGGAACAGCAATAGTTCATTAATTGAGGACAACTAAGAGAAAAAATTCTTGGAAATTCTTTAAGTATAAAAATATTTGGTAGTAATACAGTAACCAAATATATATATATAGGCAAAGAACTAAACACCAAGTAATTCTTCTTTATATCTCTCCAAAACCATCATTGTATTATAAGTGTAATTCTATAGCAGACAAATCAATGGTAACATCAGTGATGCAATATCACCGAGTCCGATCAGAAGAAGAGGTGGGAGATTGATCTTGAGATATACTGAAGCAACTACCTTGTGATTCTGCTAACACTGACATGAAAATTTTAACTGAGCCCAAATTTCTGAAATTGCAACTTTAAACATATCTTAAATAAACAATCTTCATAATTCTATTTGGATGTCTGGCCAAAAAATTGCTTATTAGTCTACTATGGCTACAGTCCTGCCTTGGGGCAGGGAGATGGGTGAATGACCTCTCTAGATCCCTTCCAGTTCCATTTACTGCAACTCTGTGAAGACTGAAGTCACCAAAGCCTAAGGGATTTGGTTCAGGGGGAAGAGGAGGGTGGGGAGAAGAATTTTAGGAATGCTGGGAAAATGAAAGATGCAGGCTTCTAGTCGGGGAGCTTAATATCCTACTCACTTCTCTTTGACAAGCATGCACAGAGGTACAGCAGTTCATCTGTTATTGCTTCCTTTTCTGCTTATGATGCCCATAATGCACCCCATGCATTATGCTTTCTTTTTATATCTTTTTTTTTACTGCCTCATTTATATTGGTTAGTATGTACTTTGACTACCATGGTACCTAGGAAAAGACTTGGCATTTTTGTAGGTGACATGAAAAAGATGGGGTTCAAGGAGAAAGCTGCAGGAGGCTGTAATGCAGCTTTATAAAGCCTCCTCTTGGAAGAACCTGGCTTCTTACTTGAAAATAATCAAACTGTCAAGTGATTGTCACCATCCCCTGTCTGGAAACAGATTCCTGGATAAAGAATAAGACACCATGGGCAGGCTGGGGAGAAGGACATTCCATCTGGAAATGCAAACCAGGAATGCATACTTTAAGGAACGAGGGAGCCCGTGGAGGATGCACAGCCCTGTGCTGCTCTGCTACCCATGCTGAGCATGTTACCTGCACTAGCCTCACTAGACTTTGTGTTTCCTGCCTTCCTCACGGGTCACTGCCCAGCATGGGAACCAGCTGTTCTTTTTGGCGAAAACAAATTGCTGTCTTGAGGTTAAATACAGAAGATGTGCAGGTATGAAATTAAATCTCTTCTAGAAAGAAGAGTTTGCTCAAATGCTTGACATGGAGGTGGCTTTATGTTTTGGCTTCTTTTCTTGCCAACTTCCAAGTCCAGAGCCACCAGAGATGTGTACCACGGTGAAATGATTTACATTTTGATATGACATGCAGTCTAATGGAGTGACATAGCACTAGTGTTGACATTCACTCACTAACAACATTACAGTATCACTATGAAAAGATGCAAAACTCTTACTAAGGTCACAAATTCTAAAAATACTTCTGAGTTGATGTAAGTTCATTTCTCAGTGGCACAGCAGAAAGCCCTTCACTACTGAGGAAGCTGCAAACTCTCACTGCAAGTCGTCCCAGCCCAGCCAAGGCCTGGGTCAGGCAGAAATCACAGTGTAGTGCTGGACTTGGGCTAGTGCTCACATCTCAGTCTATGTGCACAGTCTATGTGCACTTTTAACCTGTGGCAAGGATGGTGCCAAACTATCATCCCACAAATGCAGTGAGGCCTTAGGCAAACTGTGTTAAAACCAGTTTATTAAGAATCTCACATTACATTTCTTCTCAGTATTTCCATGAAATGAGGAGACAAACCAGCAGGTAGCTGTATTTCTGTATAGTGGACAAGAACTCATCTTGCCTACAGATATTCACATATGTTTCATTGCCATTTAAAAATCACCATTAGGTAAATATTTTCTAAATTGATTATACAGATAAAATACTTTAAAAGAGCATCCTAAAATTTTCAGCTTTACAGGTAACTGTGATTGACTTATAACTAATCAGGACAATACCTACCCATGTTAAAATAAGCACACCTATCATATGCGTTTCCTATTTCTTTTTTTAAGTTGAAGCACAATCGGAACTGTCAAAATTAATTATTGTTAACATCAGGTGATGAGAGAAGGCTTTCGATAAGAAATATACTTGTACCTACATATCCCCATCTGCTTGCTAAGGGACACATTGCTACCATGAAAATAATTTTCATACATGGCTAACAGCTCTTAATATATCCCAACACAATTATAAAAGCCTTACGTTGCACCACTTACAGAACATAAGATAAAACAAGAGTAATTCTGACTTCCAGCTTATTTTCAAGGCAGTGATGTTCTGCCTTGATGTTCTGTAGGTTTCCAATACTACAAAAAGTATTCAAATAGACCTAAAACAAAGAACAATGAAACCACTTCCTCTTGTGATGATTTTGTAAAAGACATTTCACATTACAGAAAGCTGAGTCTCATTCAGTATGTGCCTTTTCAGGGCAGCCTTCCAGCATACCTCCCATACAGACATACAAGCTGTGCTGACTTGCTGGGATGTGCTGCAAGGCACTGCTTCTGTTCTCCAACTAGAAGACTACGTGTCCCATGTCTGGAGTTAAAACTTGATTTCTTTAAGGTGAAAATACCTCAGAGATCATTTGTACCAGAAAAATACTGTGCTGTATGTGTTTGTGTAAAGTGAATCCCTAGAGGGTTCTAGATGCTGAGGAACTTCTGTTAATGCATGAGCAGGCACTGCTGGGTTTTTACACGTGCAGCATTTGTCAATACTTTACCAAAAACACCAGTGACCAACAGCTGTTTGAACAGACTCTGTCATTCCAAGGAAAGACTCCAAGATGTGCTGAAGATGATTTGCTACATAGGAAGGAATTGAAGGGAAAGAGAAAAATATCACAAGATTTCCATTCTCTGATGCTTGAGAATTCCAAGCCTTAGTTTGGCAATGGAGCACTTAAATCATGCTTACAAGAGACAGCCACACTTTATATCACAGTTGTAATCTTTGCATGGTGAAGAAGCTCCCCATGCCATAAAGGGGCCTGGAATACTCACTGATGGCTGTAGGCAGTCCAGGTACTACAGATGTTTGCCCAATTATCCCATCCCAAACTCAGGGAAATACAATCAGAATTACATATTTAGCACACAATCATAATACTTATTTACCATGCTCTTTTCAAGCACATATTGAAAGACTGCCTTTGTCCTGAAGAACTTACAGTCTGAATATACAAAGTAGATAGAAAGGAAGAATTAAAAGCTGAAATGTACAGGCAGAATGAAAAACATCATGATATATAAATATTGTATTAATGCCAAAGCTTTTTTCTTCTTCTAAGTGGAAAAAAGAGACCACATGTATTCTATCTGAAAAATTACTCTGCATAGAAAGCCAAGTGTAAGAGAACAGGCATAGGGGAAGAAAAGAAGTGACAAAAGGAGTGAAAAAAGGGAAAGCTAGCAGGCGTTATTTAGACCAGTTATAGTTATGATTGGAGCATATTGTCTAAAAGCTGAAGAGAAATATTGTTCTAAACTCAAATAGTAGTTCATGGGTCTGTGCATGGGTCATGCACATATGTAAAGCAAGGAGACTAAAACAGATCCTTAGATGTGTTCTTTTTGCTCAACCTCTTCTCCTGAGCTTATGTGGGAGGACTGTGGGACTGTAATGCAAGTCTGAATAATTCTTGGGCTCTCAGGATAGTCTGGATGGATGCTAACGTTCATGTCACATTCTCTTCCCTGATGGATTCATTCAACCTCGTTGCAGCTGTCTACAAGTCAGCTGTCTAACCTATATTATATATTTCGAGATGAATCATTCCTGCAAGTGCTTGCCCATCTCTGTTGCTTGTGCAGGAAAGCCGGATGTTCTTTCCTGCAATTCTTAGCTTGAAGAGTAAGAAGCTACGGAGAGGAATTCAGTCCTGCAACTACATGAAACTTCTCACCGAGACTGTGACTCCACTCCTCTTTCTTTGAATGACATTGCAACATGCCACAAAGTATGGATTTCCTATCACACCACAGATGGCTCACTGGAAATGTTCCAGAGCTGCTGGCGAAGCCCGCGCTGCTCTACGAGAACTTGGGTCTCTCTGCTGAAATGCTTGAGAAGTGTTCAAGCTTCCCAACCAAGACTCCGTGTATGCAAACAAAAGCTGTGTGAGTGAAGAGAGGGGAGAAATAGCATCCAGAAATGGAAGCATCTGTTCTGTGGAAGCCCAACATATTGCAATGTCATTGTCAACCTCTAAAATTCCAGCCTAGCTGGAAAAGTAATCAAATATTAGAGTCCTCATCCAAAGCTATCTGCTGAAGTTCACTGCTGTCTACCAATCTTCTGTCTCTGTTCAAAATTTTTGCTGTGTTTCAGAAAACTCATTAATACATCAATTTAAAGATTATCCTTTCATCTGAGGGTGTGGAGCAATACAAATAAACTGATAACAAGTGTTTTGCCTCTTAGTAAGATTGCCCAGATTTCAACGCTCTGCAGAGGGGTTGGTTGTGCTCTGAGATACAACTTGCCTCAGCAAGTCTACGTCACAAATGAATCTCAACGCCCAAGTTACCAACTAAAAAAGGAATGATAACAGAACCGCAAATGGACTCTGAATTGAAATTTCTGGACAACACACATTGTCTAGAAGCCTCTATCTGATTTTGAGTATTTTGAGTTTTACGTTACACTACACAATGTAAAACACACATGCTACGAAAGGCTCTGTTTCAAAGAGACCAGTGCCACAGGTTTGGCAAGTTCCTGCTTAGGAAGAAGTGTGTGGAGGGGGTGGTAAACGAGAATGCAAGCTGGGGGTCATTGCTGCTTTACACTGCGAGTGGCCCGGCACTTGGCAGTCAATCTACTTTTTTAGGTCAGCTGGAATTAGAAAATTTCCATTGCTAGGCAGCACAGCACATCTGCAAAGCATTTCTGGGCTCTCCGAAGCGAGGCACGCGCTGCCCACAGGAAGATTCATCGCAGGCGGCCGGCCAGGGCCTGCGCCCTTCTGAGCGGGCAGCGCTTTGGGAACAGGGGATCTCCCTACCTCTGTGCACAAACACATGACACGACCAGAACACAGCAATTAGCACATTTGTAAAGCTTCAGGGATAGGAACAATTTAAGAGCTTTTTGAAGCAGACTAATTTTCTAGAGCTTTTAATCTTTTTTTTTATTTTGCTTTTCGTGCGTAGACAAGTTCTTTGCTACAGGTATTTTCTCAGTCAGCCTGGCAGGAGTAGCACGTGAAGAAAAACAGGGATTATTTAATCAATTTAAAACAGTGCTAGAGATGAAAAAGTGCGGTGTAAGTGCAAACTTATCAGTAATCCTTGCTTTAAAAGCACACTTTACTTACACAGATGATTGTCTTGCTGTTTCACAAAATCCTCCACACTTAGGAGCCCGGGCTGCCCGGCAGATGACCGGTTTGTTTATGTTTGCAGCTTTTCACAAACTGGAAACTTCAGCTGTGCGACAGTAAATTCAGCTGTCAGATGCTCCACAGCAAAGCAAAAAGCAGGCCAATAGAAAGGAAAGCAAATCTGCTATCATTGTCTGCTCACACCAAAAAAAACCTGCAGTGATACTGGAAGGGTGCTCAGTCCCTGTAACCCCCAGGTGAGGTGGAAGAAACTGTAGCATTCGTATTTTGATATCTCTTACTTTCAATACTAATTTGTCACGAGTTACCAGGGCTTCAGTTTAAAACCCAAGTTAACGAAGCCCTTTCGTAATGCTTCTACCAAATAACCTTAGACTTCAAAAGCTGCTGAAGTGTAATTTAATATCCACAGTGTTGGAGCAATCTGCTTTGATATGAAAACATCCTGTGGCATATTTTCACCCAGTGACTGATACTGCTTATAGAAAACCCATGAAAACTGCACCGGTGATCCAGTGGTCACATTGACTACCCTGTGGCAGACCGACCCACAAGGGAAAGTTTGAGCCCAGAGTGAGAAGTGGCTGGTGAAGGTTAAAAGACAGGTCACACTAATTGCTTGTGAAATGACTCTACGCTGGACTGTAGGACCCAGTGTAATCTCAAACAAGTGTATTAAATGTGAATGATAGAAATTGGTATCCTGTTAAATGCCCGCCTTCTGTAAGTAAAAGAGATTAAAACAAACATTACTATTTATCTGGATGTTGGGGGTAGGGCTGAACATCTGAGCAGCTTCCTATATGAAAGATGTGTTTTGTACAGATGCTATATGTCAAATTACAGTTATTTGCTTTCAGATGTTCGCAGCGGTTACTCAGTTTTGCACTTTTCATGTGTCAGTATTTTTTTCATTTTACTTCTTTATTCCCTACTCCAAGTAAGACTCTTTAGAGCAATAAGATCTTTAAAATCTCTTTAGTGTTTAGAAATGTCAACAATGCAGTCGACTATACTTGATGAATAGGCCAGACAGAAAAACCTGCCTCAAGTTTTCATCTTGAGAGAAGTAAGGTGCTTTGAAGAGCACTTGATTTGAGATTTAGAAGCCTGCTGCTATTCAGCCAGGCATTCTCGAGAGCTGTTAAGTTCTGACCCATAGCAGGAAAATAGGTTGGAGGGAGGGGAGAGAAACTAGTAAGGAGTAGGTTTTGTACTCCCTGCATAATTGTTTCCTCTACATACCATTTAAACACTCCTTCCTGTAAATAAATAAAAAAAACAACTAGGAGACCAGGCATCCTTATCAGACACTCTTATTTGAATATTTTGAGTGTAGCTCAAACTTGCCAGGGGGAAAAACCACAGCACTGGATAATCTAAAGGAAAAAAAAATATATCTAAATGGTTCTTTCCATTTGAATAGACGGCACTGACATATTCAAGCTTCGTGTTTTTGACAAGAGACATAGAAAACAAAGAGGTTTTCACTTCAAAATACGCAGTGGAAGAAGATGAAATGGTTTGGTTTGCTGTAATTACAAAAAATATTTTTTTTCATCCTTTGCTATCGTTTCCACAGCCTACATCTAATCTCAGTACCAGACTACAATGAGCTCAGTCAACATCATAAAGCGATCAATTTAAAATATCTGCACACCAGTAATAACAACGATGATAAGATGAAAAGACAGCACTCTAAACTGCAAGTTAATCCTTTTATATGAATATCTGTTCTTAAATTAGTTTATTGTGCTCGTACACGTGCTCTCTCACTCACAGTACAGTACTTTAACTTCATAACTGGCTTCCTTGAGTAAGATCTTACTTTGTAAGCTAACAGCAACTGGCCACATTATCTGGACAAATTTCTCACCGGCCTCTTCTGCCCTACTTTCTAAATCTCTGAGTTTCATAGAGACGTAAAAGACAAAAAGTAGGTAATTTCCGTGCTGAACAAAAGGATTTTTGAAGTAGTATAAATTACTGGCCTTTCTGAGAAGGCTGTCTTTCCCAGCAAACCAGGTAATCCAATCCAGCTCAAGTAATTAATGGTATCCTCCGACAGCTAACAGTAACGGCAGTACACAATCCAGTGAACTCAGGAGAAACATTTCTACGGGTTTTCAAAAGCTGTGACACTCTGTTTCCTGAGTTGGAATACATTTGGGGAGTTGCATTAAAATATTAATTATTATACAGTCATTACTGCCACAATAGCTATTTTGTGCTAATTGATAAACTCCTCTATATTTGAGACTAAAATAAAGATTGAGTTTCCCGTATGGTCCTTCTTACCTGGGAATATTTGTCTATGAATTTATCACCCTTGTAAGCTCACTGAATGTTTTACATGTAGTAATCCTTGCATAAGAACAGCAAGACTTTAAAAAATGGAATGTATGGTGAACAGACAAAGGCAGGAAACTGCTTACTGACCAATAGTGCTGGTGGCTTTTCTGGCCAGAAGAAGCACAAGATATAATATAGGAGATCATCTCTGTGATCTCATTTCTGTATCACAGATTCAGGATATTGTGCTCAAAGCACCACTATGACAACCAGGCTTGCGGGCTGACGGCAGGAGTTACCAGTTCTAATGAAAAAGGACTCTGAAGGACTCTTTTAATGAAAAAGGTACCATAAGTTGCCAACAGGTAAGTTTTGAAGTATAAAAACCAATCAGTATTTACAAAGAGAAGTTTCTTTAATAGCAATAACTTGACCACTATGTTTAGGACCGTCATTTTTAAACCACTCGCAGCTCAGAAATTCTGCTTTCCAATACAAAAACTATTTGTTAGTTACACCTCCAGAAAAGTTCATCCCCTGCTCTCCTCTTACTCCTTATAAAACAGCTCCCGTTCCTCTAATTAGAGAAACATTGCTTCAATCCCAGGTTCACTAGGCAGCCTGTGTATAAAGAAACAGAGTTTAAATGGCCAACAGCTCAATGTATATCTTAAGAAAATATAAATCCCGAGTAGCTTGTTTCCAAGATTTCTTTGTTCTCATGTCACAACACGTGCTACGTTTCTTCGCTAGCGATTGCTGCATGAAATCTATATAAAATTATCAAGCAGTGGTTTTCAATTCATCCTTTTGTACACTCGATGATCTCCCAATAAACCTTAGTTTGAGGCACATCACAGCCTCAAGGAGAACATTCTTATTAACACCACCTAAAACTCGCGGATGGGATATAACCAGTGCTGTTTTTATTAGCTTTTAGTATTTTAAATCCCTTGTGAAGGTTGAAGGAAGGATGAAACGTCAAATAGCCACCTGGATTACAGCACACAACGTTCTGCTCTTATTATTTATGGCAGGATAATAAGTAAACAAACCGATATGTCTGTATGATTACATCTCCACTGTATACAATATTTGTTAAAAAACCTTTAACTGTTAAACTTTAAAACAAGGTCAGTGCTAACAGTCCCTTACCTATTACCATAACAGAGTATTTCCAAAACCATAAACAGTTTTTCATGGTGGTGAATAAAAAACAGATTTTGCTGGGAAACTGTTCCTGAATCTAATAATTATCCTCTTCATCCTCTTAATTCAGTCTCAGTGTTTTGCCGAGGAGTGGGATGGGTGCCAGTAGTAGTCGTCAGGGGGATTACGGTTATATGAGTCTCCCATCAGGAGGCCAAGCAGCCTGCAATTACTAAAGAGCGGTCCTTTTGATTTAAAGGAAAAGTTTCAGAAATGGACTAAAACGCTGAATAATACACATGATTAGTAATTTGTAGCTGTGGATCAGG